TTTCTTATTCTCTTGAGAAGAGAAACATTTTCAGCTTCCAGCTGATATCTCTCCTTAATCAGAAGATTGATTTTGGTCTCAACCTCCTTCCTTAAGTCAAGAATCTCAACCTTAGGCTTACTGTTTTCTTCTGTAACAGAGGAATAAATGGCTTGGATGGCCTTAAACGCTTCCCAAAATTCTGACATTGAATCAGAATCAAAAGCTAAGCCTACCGAAGAAAAACTAGATGTAGACGTAGAGGTTACCTCATCATCAGAATGGGCCATGAGGCATAGGTCTTCTGTTTCAGCTTACAGGCAACAGAAGGCCTCATCAGAATCAGAATCAGAACTGGATTCTATCTCAGAAAGAGGGTCTTTCTCAAGTTGTTCTGTGACGAGTGCTTTCCTCCTTCTAGTATTGTCTTCACATTTCTTCCTCTCTCCATCATGTCCTTGTCTTTTGGACACTCTTGGATGTGGACAATCTACCTTGAAATGTCCAGGCTGTCTGCAGTTGTAAAAGAGAAGCTCTTCACTGGTTTCTGCAGACTTGGTCTTCCGGAACGGTTTTCTGCTGGTATGTGGACTTCTTCCATCTTTGGGATTCTTCATAAACTTCTTGAATCTCTTGGCAAAGGCAGCCATATACTCGTCAGATAAAAGTATTGAAGGGTCAAAATCATTTACCTTAGATGTACTGGCTGTGAGAGCTGTAGTTGTCCTCTCCTCTGGTACATCTTCCTTCTCTTCAATCATCTCAAACTCATGAGCTTTGAGGTCTGAGATGAGCTTGTTTGTGGGGTAGGTCTTTACATCCTTGCTGGTTTGAACAGCAACCACCTTCATCTTCCATTCTGAGGACAGTCCCCTCAACACTTTCAGGTTGATCTCCCTGGTGGTGAGTTCCTTCCCAAATTCAGATATCTCTCCAGTGAGAGTAAGAAGCCTATCATACATCTTGGAGATGCTTTCTCCAGGGAGCAGCTTGAAATCATTAAACTTCTTGTTGGCAATGGTCAGCTTGTTGTCCTTTTCTTGCTCATCACCAGTTCCAATGAGCTCAAGAGTATCCCAGATTTCCTTGACAGTCTTGCACTTCTTTATTCTATTCAAGTATCTGTCATCAATGGACATGTAGAGGATGTCCTTTGCAATATCGTCCAGATTGTACTTTCTCCTCTCTTCAGTGGTCCATTCAGACTTGGCCTTGTTGATCATCTGTGGCCTAGTCTAGTCAATAACATGCTCAGGATTCACCTTCTGGAAGTTGGTGAATGGCCCAATGTCAAGTACTTCCCACATCTCATCATGAAGAGCACAGAGATGTGCCTTCATCCGGATCCTCCAGTCATCAAACTTAAGATCTGAAAACATAAGGTTCTTGGAAAGAGAGTGATCCATAATATGAGATTAAAACTGAGGCAAAAAGAAAAACAAGTGGATCTTTGTTCAACAAAATAACCTAAGAGATTATTAGAACAAGGAGGCTCTGATACCACTTGTTGGTCCCAGTTGTACTGGGTACAGTCTAGAGGGGGGGGGGGGGTACTTCAAGCTAAGTAATAGATTTAACAGAATAGCCTGTTCTGTAGGCAGAACAGAATGGCAGCAGATGGTCTTCTGGTAGGGGTTCGGTCCGGTTAGCCTTTAAGAGATGCAAAGGCAGTAGGCCTTCTGTTAACTCATAGGAGAGGTTCTGCTGAACACAGAGACCCAAATTCTGGAGTTAATCAATTAAAGATAAATACAAGAATTGAAAGCAGTAAGTAAATGGCACCAGGGATTTTTATAGTGGTTCAAGGAATAACTCGTTCCTCTAATCCACTGTTCAACTAAGCTTTCAAAAATCCAATTACAAAGCCTTAGTCCTAGCACTTAAGAAGCTCTCCACGTCTTCTTCAAGTGTAGATGTCTCCTGGGATGCACTTCCTTGCTTCCTTTAAGACTGGTCCTTTCACTGAGCTTCCTTGAAGTATCACCACTTCACTACTCCAGTTACTTGGACGTCCTTCTCGTTAGAGAAGAGTTCTTGAAAGAACAGGGGATTTCCAACTAGCTTCGTTACAAAAGGTTTGTAGTTGAAGTGCTTGAAGAGTTGAAGAACAGTTGGAACTTTGCTCTTGTTGGGGATATGAAGATAGAAAAAGATTATCTTCCCAACGTACGCCTTTCTTGTTGATGAAGAAGGAGATTTTTATCTCAAGAAGGCTTGTGCTTTTGAATGTTTGAATGTTTTTGTCTGAGCACTGGGTTTTCAAAGTGTTAGCTAAAGTTCTGTGGTTATTCTTCGAGTAGTATCTTTTATACTGGGGTTGTCTTCCCGTTAGAGGAGGAGGACAACTACATTAAATGCGCGAATAATTGACTTGACCAGTAGGACCTGGTAAAGTTGGCGGGTTACTATTTTGGGATAAGATTAATCTGAAATATCCTGGAATGTCGGCCAATCATCAGCTTTTACTCTTCAGGGTACGAGATGCATTAAGTGTGCATTTAATGCGCGTACTGTAGCTTTTCCGTTGAAGTCTTCTAGCCGTTGAAGGAATCTTCCGTTGGTTTCACCGGATGAAGTAGTTCCATGAAAGTTCTCGAAGTGTCAGGCCTTCTGGTGTCTTCAGCAGAGGATCTGCCAGAGAAGGTCTTGAGCACTTCAGTTGGAATAAGCTATCAGAGGGTCCTGAGGTCTTCTGTCAAGGGGCGAACTAACAGAGAGTCTTGTCAGTGGTGTCCAACAGAGGACCAGAAGGGTTTCTGTCCGAGTAAGAGCTAACGGAGACCCAGAGGTCTACTGTCTAAATTAAAGTACATCAGAGGGTCAAAGGCCTTCTGTCAGGAGGCCTTCTGTCAGTCGACTATACTAAACATATACAAAGACAATTCTAATACAATCTAATAAAACAAATAGGGGGGGGGGGGGGGGGGGGAGGTACTAAAGTCCTATAGCATCATCAAAATCTAATTACAATTATTCCTTACACCACCCTATATAACCAAGTTTTGAGGATATCGCCCGATCCTTGGGTACTCCACCCGACATAACCGAGTTTTGAGGATACCGCCCGATCCTTGGGTACACCACTCGACATAACCGAGTTTTGAGGATACCTCCCGATCCTTGGGTACTCCACTCGACATATATCCGAGTTTTGAGGACACCTCCCGATCCTTGGGTACTCCACCCGACCTATGCTCTACTACATATCATACTAGATAGGGTCTATATCATAATCGATAAACAAGACTAAATCAAGTCTTAAAGCCTAAGAAAAATCATCCATGCAATTCATGCACTAAAATCACATATAGGCATTATAAGGCCAAACCGGCGCCGGTTCGAACCTTACTGGCACCGGTTCATAATCAAATAATATGAACCGGGCTAAACCCGCTCAAACTGGCGCCGGTTCTATGCATGACCGGCGCCGGTTGCCCCTGGACAACCGGCCAACTCTCAGTTGACCCGCTATTTCAAATCCAATATGTGTCAAACTTAATCACAATATGTATTAAGTTACAAATAACCATATTATGCACCATTTGTCTCTAAACACATCACATATGTTTTTATAAACATTTTCATATTGCAAATCAAGAGATGCGCTGAACAACACTAAAATTTCAGAGATGCGCTGAACAACACTAAAGTTTCACCACATTTTGTACAGTAACGTGATCAGTGAAAGCAAAATGAGCGAGGAAGACAATGGAAAAAACACAATAGAAGAACTGACATGTAATGAAAACAAGGAAATCACCTACATGTAGAGCGCGAAGGCAAAGAGAAACCGTTGTTCTTGTGCGGAAGAAACCAACTGGAGCGCGAAATAATAAAATTGGAAAGAAGAACGCGTGTCTCTGTAGAGTAAGAGGCTTTTCAAAATGAACTAAGTGGGAACCGAAAAGTCATACTTGAACAGTAGGGTATTGCCGCTAAAAACAAACAGAAGTACGAAGTTGGAAGTATTTTTCTGGCTGTATTGATTGAAGTTACTATAAAGGTTTAGTTTAACTAATTTTTTCACTTGTTGTTTTTATTTATTTTATTAATTAATAAGACTTTAAATATAATTTGATTTCAGGCAGTGAACTGTGTAATAATAAGAAATGTAAGATTGCAGTTATTTTAGACTGTATTGGTCGAAATTACTGCAGACGACCATTCTAGATACCTTTTTCATATAATTCTTTCTTTATTTGATTAATAAAATATATTTTAAATATTTTTTGAATACAACAAGCTGACTCAGCCAACGCAGTTATTCTAGCCAGAACTGCGTAAATCTCAGAAAAATTAACCACTTAAAAGGATTTTAGTATTACCAAAAAGACTCTAAATGTAGCTATACAAAGTACTCGTTGCATCCCAAATTGGTCACCAAAACCTTCAAAGGTCACTAAATTTTAATTAGTGTCACATCTCGGAATATTGACTTTTTAGAATGTTTGGTGATAGATACTTAAATATAGTCACATGCAAAGTTGTGCGTTGACAAGCGTAAAGTCACATTGCCACAAACGTTAAAGAAACGAGAACTGTAGTTCAAAAAGTTCACAAATTTTAGGGAAATATCACTTTTCATCTATCAAAATCAAATACATGGGGGCGCACATAGTGAAACTAAAAGTATTACTGCTTTGCAGCAGACTGAAAAAAAGATAATTCACCCTCCAAAACATTAAGCGATGCGGTGTCAGACAAAGCTTGAGAAGTGAAAAATTAGAAAGTGTGTAGTTTCAAATTTAGAAACGTGTTTTTTTCCGTCGGACAACACAGAAAAGAAAGTGTATATTATACCATGGTTTGGAAAGTGTATCTTATACAGTTACCGTCCATTGGTATTATTAATCGTAATATTGGACTTTGCGCATACACGAACACACAAAACACGTGTTCGTGTGTTGTGCAGAAAAGACACAATTGGTTAATGACGATAAAATGGAAAGAAAAACATAGTATGGGAAAAGAGAGGTTACGTAAAGACCCATTCCACAATAAAGGAACCACATGCAAGGCAATGAACAACTAGTGCATGAGTTTAGAATTTGTTACAAAAGGTGGAGTAACTCCCCCAAAAAATATTGTACAAACAACCCATACCAACCATAATTAAACAGAAAGTAAGTTGCCTGAGGCAATCAAACTTTTCCAGTAATTATAGATAGCTGTCTTAAACGCAAAATAGAGTGTTGTTGTACAAGCATGTGTGTTTTTAGTTACAAAACAACAGAACGCGCTAGCAGCTTCCTACGACGTTTCTTGCTTGCGTTTTTCCATGTGCAAGGTGGCAAGTGGTTCTTCTGGTTCACTATCTTCCTTGTGCTGAGTTTTGCAGGATGGGGAGCCAGTTTGAGGAGGTGGCAGCTGATTCAATGACTGAAAGTTGAGTTTCTTCTTTGACTCGAGCAGCGGTGCAACCTCAGCCGATGATGTGGCATCCAGGGACTTGGCATTCAAGGGGGGGGGGGGGGGGGGGGGGGGGGTTGATCTGCACAAAGACACACAATGTTGTAGGGATTGTTCTGCATTCCCTCATCACTGTCCCGCGAACACCTTATACCAACAACAACTTGAAGTTTCTGCAACTCTGCATTCAAGGCATCAAGATCAATTTCCGAGGTTGCGTGCATGCATGCGTACTCAAGCAACAACAAGATGTCAGCCGTAAACAGTGTCACTGTGATGCGGTCAATATCATCACTTACGAAAGCAGTCAGCCTAAACCTGCAACAAATTTGAGACATGATATTGCATTCCATATGTACCGACAAACATTGGGCTAAGAGGCAAACCTTTTCACGGTGCGTCCTTTCGTCTGCCCATAAAAGAAGCACCAAAAAGTAACGCCTTCAACAAAGTGAACCTTGCGGTTATAGTAGTCACATCCAACGTAGAAGCCTTCCTCTAAAGTATCTGCCAAACTGAGCTTCCCCGAAATCCACACAACAGGGGACTGCATCATATTGGAAAGGACAACGGACACTGTTAGGAGTGTACAAAAATGTCAAAAGGCAGTGAGGTAATTACTAAGTTACATGCCAATACACCAATACCAACAACAGCTAAACCTTCTAAACTTGAATTTCAATCAAATCAGCAAAACAGGTACGTACATGACTCAATGTTCTTTCCAAAGACGAAACATCCGTCCTAGGATGTGAGCGTGGTTTAAAAATGATCTGCAAAGCACTCTCATACCGCTTTGTACGCACAAGCCTTTCAATTTTCCTAGCATTGTCTCTGACACTTTTAATAACACATGTTAGTATACCAGTGGTTGTTGTGGTTACTAATAAGACACTCGCGAATAATACTTACCAATTCTTCAGCAGCACAACACATTCACCAGTAGGATTGAGCTCAATATGAGTGTCGTAGCGAGTTGACAAAGTTAATCCTTAAAAGCAGTAGTTAGTTAAGAACTGAGCGTAAGTTCAATAAAATCTGCAGTTCAGCGCAAAGAGATACCTTAGAACAAGTTAACAACAAGCCTATCTCCATGAATGAGAGGGTACTCTCCCTCCTCAAGAAGCCTTTCTATTTCGGATGGCAGCTCCTGTCCAAACTGCTGGACAGGAACATCTCTCTCTCTATGTGTGTATATATATATATATATGTGTGTGTGTGTGTGTATAGGGGTGAGATCACATACAAACCATGCTAAATTTACTAACCTACAAACTTAATAATGTGCAACAATTTGAACTTCAATATGCAGTACAAATAATGTAAAGATGCGCTCTTTGAATTTCAATATGCAATAGAAATAATTATAAATATGAAACAGCTATTTTATGGCTTAAATATTATGAAACACTTTGAACTTCAATGTGCAATACAAATAATGTAAAGATGATTTGAATGAGAGGACTAGTTTTTATGTGATCTCACCACTGCATCTTTACATTACTTTTACAGCATATTGAAGTTCAAAGTGCTGCATATTATTGAGTTTGTAGGTTAGTTCTTTAAGCATGGTTTGTATTTGATCTCTTATATATATATATAGGTTTATTCTGTCAACCCGTAGGCCCAACACACGACCCAAGGGTTTCGAATGGAAGAAATATGTAGGAAGTAAACTTGACTATTCCACTCTAGACTTAGGCAGTTACTTTTGTCCTTATACGTATGCATGAATCATTAGGGTCTCCTACCACTTCATGCACGTACGCATGAACGTGGGCATGGCAGTTTTTTTATTTGGTAGTTTTTGTCATAGTTCGTGTTCAGTTTTCATGCATCATGTAACTTATGTATTTAAGGAGTGTGTAAGGGGTTTTTTCATCCAACGAGAGTTGGGTTTTTCCCCTTGAAAAATTAATGAAAACAGTGTTAAAGAAAGTACTTTGCAATGGTGTTTAGTTTATATCATTAGTATAATATCACTTGCTTCCGTTTGCGTGCGTATGTTTGTTTCCAACATTTGGCATCAGAGCTCCAAGGAAACAATTCAACATGTCTAGGGAATCAAATGAAGAAGGAAACTCACATGACAAAGAAGCAGTTAACCTGCAGTACCCCTTTGCTCACCAAAAGCAATTATGCTGCTTGGGCCATCAAAATGGAGGTCTTTATGATGGCTCAAGGAGTATGGGAAGCTGTGGAAACACAAAGAGCTGTTGAGACACGCAAAGATAAGATGGCGTTGGCAGCAATTTATTAAGGGATAAGTGAAGATACTCTCCTACAGCTTGGTGCAAAACGAACGGCCAAAGAAGCTTGGACTATGCTGAAAAACATGAATCTTGGGGCAGATAAAGTGAAAGAGGTAAGAACCCAGTCCCTTTTGTGAGAATTTGAATCCATGAAAATGAATGAAGGAGAATGCATTGATGAGTATGCTGGAAAAATGCAAATAATTGTCACAAACTTAAGAGGACTAGGTAAAAAATTTGAAGAAGTTAAAGTTGTGAAGAAACTTTTGAGATCTGTCACACCTAGATTCTTGCAAATTGCCTCTACTATTGAAAATTTTGGAGATATAGAAAAAAAACTTCAGATGCACTAATAGGTTCTCTTAAAGCCTTTGAAGAAAGGATGCAAGGCTGTGATTCAAAAGAAGAGGATACAGTTCTGCTTACTCAAGCATAGTGCAGAGCAAGAGAAAATGGAGAATCATCAAAAGGAAATAGAGGAGGTAGAGGAAGAGGACGTGGCAGGGGTAGAAATAATAATTGGTCACCAAGGAAGGAAGAAGAGCCACAACAAAAGAAAAAATTTGACAAGTCAAAAATCACAGAGCAAGAAGATGGTGAGGAACCTTCACTATTAATGACAGAGTCATGTAAGTTAACCAAAACTCATGCTGTGATAGAAAAGGAAGATGATAGGGCTGTCCATCAGAAGAAGTCAAAATGGTATTTGGACACAGGAGCTAGTAATCATATGTCAGGGGATAGAAGTCATTTCACTGAAATGAATCAATCAGTCCAAGGAAGGGTGGAGTTTGGTGATGGCTCAATGATTAACATACATGGAAAAAGGCCTGTAATGTTCCAATGCAATAATGGTGAGAACCCAATCTTATCAGATGTATATTATATTCCAAAGTTAAAAAGCAACATTATAAGCATTGGACAGCTTGATGAAGATGGTACCCAAGTTTCAATTAAAGGAGGTGAACTGAGAATTCATGATGATTCTAATAGACTCCTACTCAAGGTGCAGAGGCAGCAAAATAAACTCTTCATAGATACTCTGAAGATTGCAGAAAGAGTTTGTTGGTCCTGTTTGTACAAGGAATAGTCTAGGGGGTGAATAGACTATTCAGGTTTTTCAATCTTTTCTCTAAGTCAACACTGACTTAACAGAGAAGGTCTAGAAAGGTGACAAAGAAGGTCGAGTTCTGTTGGCAGAATTGGACCTGACAGCGGATATGAGTTCTGTCCGGGTAGCCTCAGGAAAAACTACTAAGGCAAGTTCCCTTCTGTTAACTCTTAAGGAAGATCTGCTGAGAGCGGTCTTCCCGTTGGAGTGTAGAAGACAGCTTCATTAAATGCTTGTACTATTTGATTTGATCGGTTGGTCCTTGACTTGCTATTTTGGGGGCGAAAGGATACCCGCATGGTCAATCATCAGCTTTAAAATATATCTTCGTACTTACCGCATTAATTGGGCATTTAATGCGTGTACAGTACCATGTTCCGTCGAATGGCTCCTAGCCGTTAGGGAATTTCCCATTAGTTTCACGGTCGTTGGAAGTTCCTTCGAATTCTTCTAAGTAAGGGGCATTTCTGGTAAAGGCAGTAGAGGGCAACTCTGTTGAAATCTTGACCTTCTGTCTTGGTTGCCTCTCTGGTCTAACAGAGATCCTTAAGGTTCTCTGTCCCGTCGAATATGCTACAACATTACACTTAGAAAAATTTCTATTACAAAAATTCTAATGGGGTACTTTAATATTCTAATTAACCTAGCATCATCAAAATCTAATTACAATTATTCCTTACAGAGTTTGTTTGCTAACAAAGTTATCAGATAAATCATGGTTGTGGCATGCTAGATTTGGCCATCTAAATTTTCAAGCACTTTGAAGGTTATCAAGTCTGAAAATGGTAGATGGTATGCCTGAAATACCTCAAATAAATCAAGTATGTGAAGGATGCCTTGTGGGAAAACAACACAGAACTACATTTCCTCAGAAATCAACTTTCAGAGCTGGAAGGAGACTTGAGCTAGTTCATGGAGATCTTTGTAGACCTATTTCACCACCTACTACAAGAGGTAACAATTATTTCTTACTTCTTGTTGATGACTACTCACGTTTCATGTGGATCTTCCTCATAAAACATAAAGGAGAAGCACTTGAATCTTTCAAAAGATTCAAGCATTTAGCAGAAAGTGAAGTAACTGGGAAAGTGAAATGTTTTAGAACTGATAGAGGTGGGGAGTTTACCTTTAATGATTTCAAGAAATACTGCAATGATGAGGGAATTAAGAGAAATTTAACTGCACCTTACTCACCCAACGAAATGGGGTGGTGGAACGAAGAAATCAGACCATTGCTGAAATGGCAAAGAATATGTTGAAAAGCAAAACCATGCCTGCCTGCTATTGGGGTGAAGCTGTAAAAACATAAGTTTATTTGTTAAATAGAGCACCTACAAAGAGTGTGGATGGGGTGACTCCTTATCAAGCCTGGTATGAGAAAACTCCAAATGTACAACACTTACGTGTATTTGGATGTTTAGCTCATGCTAAAGTAGTATCACCTTTTCTCACCAAACTAGCTGATAGAAGTGTCAAAACAATACTTCTTGGCTATGAGGACGGCTCAATAGCTTACAGATTATTTGATCCAAACAAAAGAAATCTCCTAGTAAGCAGAGATGTGGTATTTGAGGAAGAAAAAGGTTGGAACTGGGAGACTGGAGACCACAAAGGAGAGGGTAGCAGCCATGATAGCTTTACAGTCCATGTAAAAGAGGGGGAAAGAGCTGGAAATCAACTAGAAAATACATCAAGTTCTCAAGAAGTGGATACTGATCCTTTGTATCCTCACACACCTCAAGAGTCTCTAATCACATCACCTAGGTCACACACAAGCTCAAGTTCAAGTTAAGAGCATTTAAATTTCAGATCATTAAAAGACATTTATGGTGCCACTAGAGAAGTAAGTGAAGAAGTGGGTCTATGTTTTATGGCAATAGAAGAACCCTCAAATTATACTGAGGCTGCAGGAAATGACAAATGGAGGGAAGCTATGGCATTGGAAATTGACCCCGTACAAAAGAATGGGACTTGGGAACTAACAGATATGCCTAAAAACCACAAAACATTTGGAGTGAAGTGGATCTTTAAATTAAAAAAGAATCCGTGATAAGTCCATTTTTGTACTTACTTTTCTTATAAAATTTAAGCGATTTTTGGATTGAAAATATAAAAACAAGGCATGTTTATATATTTTGGTTCAAGTTTCATGAAATCAGGTAAAATCACATTCATAAAATATTTGGCGAAATTTCGGGTCAATTGCATGAAGAAAGCGGCATTTTTTGCCAACAAATGAATTGCTACGGAGGTTTGCAAGATATATTGACAAATTGTTCAATGAGAAGAGTCCAAGATAGGAAGAAATCATGCAAAGAAGCTCAAAAACAAAGAAGGGGCCGCCTATATGGCCACTTTTGATGAAAATGGACGATGCATAAAGACACATGTTTGTATTTTGATCATAACTTGGCGCATGATTGCCCAAAGTTTGTGATACCAGTTGCATTACATTGACATCTTCTTTCTATTCAACACTTATGAAGAACACATAACCAAATAACAATCTTAGAATGGACATATTGCTCAAAGAAGTTAGACATTTGCAGTTGCGATGGAAAGTGACACGTGCTCACCGTTTTGCTCATATCTCATAAACTACAAATCCAATGCATGTAATTCAAACTCCAGTAGTTAGCCAAGGAAGAGATATACAACTTTAGAGAAGACAACTTTTATATTTTACGTGAGGCGACCGCCTTTCGAGAAGACAACTTTTACATTCCAGTAGTCAGCACACAACACTTTGAATGGCGACAAAATAATGGAAGGCTGCCGACGGGGGACGGAGGGCGTCCGTCCTCCGTGGCCACATGCGGTGCGATGTGATTTTTGAGCTGTCGGTCGCTGAGACAAGACGGGAGGTGGCCAAAAGAGTGGCCGCCCTCCATGGGCGCCTGCGGCAGATTTGACGCGTACACGTAGCTTTGTCGGGGAAGTGATTGAAGGCTGCCGATCATGGCCGGAGGGCGGCCTCCCCTCTGGCCGCCTTCCACGAAACTCTGGCTGTAAAAGCCCTCTTCCATCCCCAACTCAAAACACACCATCTCACACCCAAATTAGATAAAAAAGGGTCTCTTCTTCTTCTTCCTCAAAGCTCGGATTTCCACCATTGTTGGACCTTCAACTTCAATCTTTCATATGTTTCTCATTTTAGCTCCAATTTGTAAGTTCTTTATATGAAAATTCATCTTCTCGTCGTGTAGATTCTGAATATGTTATTTTTATTTTCCAAATTTCGGTGAAACATTCTCTGCATTAATTTTAAGAATTTCGTATTTTCCATATTTATTCAAGAAAAATAGTTCTTGTTGTTATATTAATCTCCTACTTAGATAAACTCAATACCTAGTATAAATGATGTTTATTTGTGACACAAAAAAAAGTTTAGATGTTGGGAGTATTCACTTTAATATTTTATTTTGTTCTTATAATTTATGATCATGTCTTATTTTATATGTAAAGTGTTAAAACTAGTAATGAGTTGTTGTAGTTAATTTACTCTTGGGAATGAGTTGAATTAAAGAATATGGATTGACCTTGTTTAACTGAAAATTAGGAGTTTAACTAATGTTATGGACTAGTTGTTTAAAATGAAAAAATTGATTACTTAATAGAGTTGGTCATTCCATTAATTAAACTTTGGAAAATTATTTATAACTTGTCTATGAGATTATAAATAATTTAAGCCAAATATATTGATCACATTAATGAAGCGTAGAGATAGGATAAATTAATGGATATAATTTAATCTTTGTCTATGAGGAATAAATTCAATTGTTTAATATGAGAAATTTAATTAATTAATGAAGTTGACCATTTTGTTAGCTAAAACGCGGAAAGTTATATCTATCTTGTCTATGAGATTAGAATATAATTTAGGCCAACCATTTTAAACACATTAATGAAGCCTAGAAATAGGATAAATCAGTGAAAGTAACATAAATCTTGTCAATGAGAAAAGAAATTACTAGTTCAATCTTTAGTTATAGATACTCCTAATTATTAGGTCCAAGCTAAAAGGATGTACCCATATTTTATAATTCAATTCATTGCCCTTCTTTGATCAATCCATTTAGAGTTTAATATTATATTTTTCATTTAGTTTGTTTTTGAGCCATCATTAGTATTTGCATGATTTAATTTACTTTCTTTTTCAAAAATTAGTTTAGAAAATCAATCAAAAGTTTTAATTTGGAAAGCTTCCAATAATTTGCGATAACCTGTGACTGGACTTAAAATCAAGAAACTCCTCCGCCATTCCTCAAGAAACATGATACTCGGGAGAAAACCGAAAGGTTAGATTATGTTTTACTACAACGCTGTGAAAGAGGCTATCAAATGGCGTCGTTGCCGGGGAATGACTCGGTGAAATCTTGATTTTGATTTTAGCATGGGTGATTTCAAGTTATGGAGACTTTCTATTTCTTTTTTTTGTTTTGTTCTCACGTGTTTGCTTGAGATTTCCTCATGGATTACTCAAGTGAACACTTTCATTCTCAACCACCATATCACTATCCATATTATAGACAACAAGGCTTCCAAAATAATCAAGATGAAGGATACTATGAGCAAGGTCATGAGGATAACAATCAATGGTGCGAAAATCCACCTTTGGAGTATGTGGATTACCAATTTCAAGATAATTATTTCCACCAAGGGCAAAACTTTGAAGGCTATGATGATTTTTCCTATCAAGATAATTGTCATGATGATTTTAATTATCATGAAAATTACCACGAATGGCTAGAAAACCATTACATTAGCACAAACGAGTACTCCTACGAGAATGAATCTGAAATTTCACCTTATCCTCAACATGAGCTCGTAAAATTAAAATCATCCTTGCTCGATCTTGTGGAAGACATAAAAAAGGCAAGGATTGAACTAGCATCTCGTGACGAGAGTCTCAATAAATTGTTTGAACAAATCATCTATGACAATGAACACAAAGTTCAAGAGGAGGCATACGAGGAAGGAACTACATCCGAGGAGGAGACTGCAATAACTATGGGCGAGATGGTTGAAACTCTTTGCACCCCTATTTCTTTTGAGCCTCTCATTGCTACTGAGCTAGAGCATGTCCTTGCAGAAATTAGTCCTGAAGAACTCAATCTGGAAGTGCCCACTGAGGTTGATGAAGAGACCATAGATGAGGAGGTACTTTGTGATACCGGCCCTACCCTACCATCTATGGATGATCTCTCACCTAAAGAGTCCTTGAAAGATAGCCTGATGAAGATGTTGATCGTACACAAGCCCAAATGCCTGTTGAAGTTGTTATTGAAACGTGTGATTTGGAGGAAAAATTCTCCGTTGACGCCTTCTTTGACTCTCTACTCAATGATGACGAACATAGTTGTGTTAGGCAAGGATCTGTAAGCCTAGATGATATATGTGGGGTTAGTGAGTTAGGAAGTTGGGATGCATTCTTAGAGAGTGACACAAAGTCTAAACTTTTTGATTTTCATTTTGAGGGCATAGATGAAGAAGAGAAAACCCATCAAGAGGAGTATGAAATCTCTAATCAGGCTACTTTTACCTTGATGGCTCCATTTGAGCGGTTGGAGAAACCAGAGGCACCTGATCCTGAAATACTTGTTGATTCTACTAATGAGAGTGATGCAGGATATGTGTTAATTCCTTGTTCGAACGACGTGTTCTTTGAAGATTATGTCACAGTTTGGTGGTCACGAGAGTTCGAAGGTCTACGCCATGTGACTGCATACCTGTGAAGGATAAGGTGGAGACACTAATGATGAGTGCTCCACAACTGATTTTCATTACAGAGAGTTCTCTCTCAAACGTCAAGCTAGTGACGTTAAAGAAGCGCTTCTTGGGAGGCAACCCATGTTTTTCATAACTTTGTTTGTTTCTTTTGTGTGATTGCAGGTTGTGCTTCAATAAATAAATTGTGAGTTGATTGCTTTGACCTAATTTCAAAAAAACTGACTATGGATGATGTAAGGATATTTTTAAAACAATTTTATTCCTTTTTTCATCATTCCTCTTCACAAAATCTTTTCAAAACTCAAGTGTGAGGAAAGAACCAAAAAAAATTTGCCTTTATTTCAAAACATTGTGCATTAAAAAGAGACCTCGAGAGCAAGGTCCAGCTCAAGTGTGAGGAGGTTGCGTTTTACACTCAAAAGTTAAAACCTTGTTTTAGAAAAATGTTTTTACTATTTTTGATACGAAACATTGATTTCTCAGTTTGTTATCAATCCCGTAATAGCTTTGAGAATCACTCTTATTATAAGAATTTACTTTTATTATTATTTATAGAAAATTTGAAATTGTTATGGGTTTTTGGTTGCGAATATGAAGGGATAAATTTGTTTTAATTGGACATTCATTTTATTCATTAAAACAAAAATGCTATTACTAATAAAACTCTTCAAAACTCATTGTTATAGGACAATTCCATCTGCGAAAAGGGGCTCTGTTTCATTTGTTAATCATAGTCTGTGAGAATGAAGTATGTACTTACCATGTGATAACACCGCCAACAAGAGTGAAAAAGAGGCAAAAAAAAAACAATGAACAAAATGAAAGTCCAAATTAGAATAATGAAAACCTTGGCATAAGGAATTGATCGGTGGTTTAACATAATCAATAGTTTTTTTACGTGATACTAATTTTAAATTCTTGTATTTTGGGTGATTTTTTCTAAAATGTTTAAAAATTGAAAATAAAAGAAGAGGTTTTTGTTTCTATTTCTTTAATAGCAACTCGATTGTAATACAGTCAGATTTTACCTTTTTGAGTGTGTTTGCAACCGATTTGTCGTTTGAGGACAAACAACGCTTAAGTGTGAGGAGATTGATAAGTTCATTTTTGTACTTACCTTTCTTATTAAATTTAAGCGATTTTTGGATTGAAAATATAAAAACAAGGCATGTTTTATATATTTTGGTTCAAGTTTCATGAAATCATGTAAAATCACGTTCATAACATGTTTGGCGAAATTTCGGGTCAATTGCGTGAAGAAAGTGGCATTTTTTTGCCAACAAATGAATTGCTACGGACGTTTGAAAGATATATTGACAAATTTTTCAATGAGAAGAGTCCAAGAGAGGAAGAAATCATCCAAGGAAACTCAAAAACCAAGAAGGGGTCGCCTATATGGCAACTTTTGATGAAAATGGACGATTTCTCTATGGAAACCTCTTTCGGACGATTTCTCTATGGTCGCCATTAGGGCTAAAGTTCTAATGGAAGGACCTTATACTATCCTAGGGAAATCTTTCCCTTTGAAACCTCTTTCGGACGATTTCTCTATGGATAGTGAGGAGTTCCTTAAACTACCCATTTGGGTGCAATTCCCTAATCTTCCTATGAGACTTTGGGAAGAGGAAATCATAAGTGAAATTGCTTCTAGGGTGGGAGTCCCTTTGGCTACTGATTTGGTTACCC